AATTACTGTCCGACTATAAACACAAAATTACATTTCTTAATTACCATGGCTAATCTGATTGGTCCAAATTATACAATTTTCAAAGCGCTAGACAATGACAATCTCACACGGATATTTTGAAAGGTTGCTTTTAACTAATGTTAAAATATTTTTAAAAATTCAATTTAAAAATTTTTCGAAAATCTTTTAAAATTAAAGAAATAAGAAATAATTGTATTAAAATTCAATTTTCATTGAAAAAATTTTTTGCTTTCAGAAAATATTGTCCATATTCATAAAAACAAATTAAAACAAATAAAAACAAATAAAATCATTTGAAACTAAATAATATATTTGTTTTATTGAGTTTTTGTATGTTACAATTCACAGCTGATTTTCAGGTACAAAAAAAAACCATGATTTGCATTCTTCAAAGCCTTGTGCTTTTAACTATTGTAATCACTAAAACCGATGGTCTCGAATTTCTAGAGTTTTTCATAAAATTAGTTATGGGGGTGATAATAAATATAAAAAAAATATTTCTGCCATGACTTTAATAAAAAAAAACATATTTATAATAATTTCGATCATCTGTGAATAGTTTCTGAAAGTTTCATTAACATCTGACAATTATTTTTATTTTTGCAACATTTTCCAAATTAATGTGTGTAAATACAAAAAAACGCGCTAAAAATTATCTATGTTATTTAATACCCCTCGTTGCGACAAAGAGAAACAAGGGTTTTTAAATCAAAATTTAGAATATTCTAAAAAGATGGAAAATTTTTTAAAAATAATTAAAAAAAAATTTAGTCTATCCTCTTCATAAAAACATAAGCATTTTGACAATAACATTTTGTTTTCATAAACTTTGGCGTCTTTTTCATCAGACTATGCTCTATGTTTTAGCGATTCCGTGGAGTGACTTAGGTTAAAAAACCCAGATTGTTTGTTTGTGTGTGTGTGTTCCTTTATATATGGGATCGGATTTCTTACATTTTTCAGCCGATAAAACAAACATCCACTTTTTTTTTTTGGCAGGTAGTATTTCTTATTGTCTTGCACACTTTTTTTCTTTATTTATACATTCAGAATGCTTTAAAAATTCCATTTACAAGACAATTGTTTATAATAGAATTCTAATTCTATTCAATCGGGGGACTCATCATAACGATTGAAAACAATGTTTTTGTTTGAGTTTGGGTTTGACCAATTCGTAAAAAAAACAAAAAAAAACTAAGACATGCGTGTCCGTCAATCTAAACAATAATCTAACGATCTCTACTGATTGTACGAATCGAAAAATCGGATAATTCTTTATCTTTAGGGAAAGATAATTCCACGTACTTTAGGGCCGTTTTTACAATTCCCTTTGCAATTCGTTACAAGGCAGATCAATAAGGCATTGGTTCTATTTGAAATTAATTCAATATTTAAAAGAAAGTATTAAGAAATAATTTAAAAATGCTGACGTAAGAAATCTGATAGACAAAAAACAACAATATTTCGAAGATGATAATTATTAAGGAAAGAACACAGTACTTGTAATAAATTAATAAACCCAAATAAAGTTAATATTTTTTGTATTAGAAACAACGAGTGGAAAATATATTCAAATCAGAATTCTAATTATGAATCACCACAAGCAAAATATGCAATTTTTTTTACTGTATTCAATAAGTAAAAATCATAAATTGTAAAAGATTACAGAGAAAGGCTATCTACATTTTTCAACCGATTTCAACAAAACTTCACTTTTTTTTTGGCAGGTAGTGTTTCTTATTGTCTTGCACATTTTTTTCTTTATTTTTACATTCAGAATGCTTTAAAAATTCCATTTACAAGACAATTGTTTATAATAAAATTCTATTCATCAATCGATAGACTCATAACGATTGTAAACAATGTTTTTGTTTGGGTTTGACCAATTCGTAAAAAAAACAAAACAAAAAAAAACTAATTAAGACATGCGTGTCCGTCAACCTTAAACAATAATCTTTGTCAATTTTATTTTTCAGTCTTTATGATGGTCGATACTTGATCTATCTCTTACTGTTACATCCCCGGGCAATGCCGGGCTCTACTGCTAGTAAATAAATAAAAAGCTTTTTAGAATATAAATTAAATATAACAGGTAGCCAAAATATTTCTTCTGGTCACATTTTAAAGATTACTTTATTTACATGCAAGCTATTGTTCTCATCTTTGTTGTTTTTCATCACAACATTTTAGCCATTGTGCTCTCTGCTCTTCATCAGAGTGTTTGTTGATCCGACTAACCTTCAGGGAATTCAAACTTAAGGCTCTTTTACAAACTTTAACAAATATTCAACAACTGAAGCAACATCTCAGATTGGTTAGATTTTCACAATTCTTATTCAATAAAATTTGTTTACTGTCTTTGAATATCTATATATTTCAATTTTTTCTAAAAGTTAAAGTATTTGATTTCATAGTCTTTTACAAAACAAAACTAGTATACTGCTAAGCTGCAAAATAAATAAAAAAAATTCTTTCAAAACCGTATTTTTAGATAATAAATAAATATTTGTTTGATTAAAGAACAAATACAAGCTAATTTTAATTAATATTCCAGTTTGCATAGCTAATAAACATTACTGTTTTTGTTCATATTTTGCAAATTATCTGTCTGGAAGAAAAGTTCTCGCGGTTCGTAGAACATAAATCAAAGCGAATTTTTTTTAAAAATAGAGAATATATTCAGTCAGTCAACATCAACGATATAATCACCAACTGAGCCAACCACCTTCTGCCATTTAACAACCAGGGAATGAATGCTGTAGTTTGTGTAGAACTGGGTTTGAGGAAAAGAAATTTTGTCAATCACATGTTCCAGTCATGGAGGCGAATAGATAGACGGACAGCGGTGGGGGAGATCCTGGCTATAAGGTAAATGCAGCAGACCTTCCCAGTCTAGTCCCAGCAGTTTCTGGTGAGTCTACCTTGCGACGTGCCAGCAAGCGTTGTCGTGAATTTGCACGACGGTGGGGATGCAACGAAGCAGCCATCTCGGCACGACGCTGACGGTTTAAGTTGCTCAATTGTTGGGGTACCCATTGGTCCAGTTTACTGACTTTGCCGATGGCATGCAGGTGCTCGATAATGGTGAAGTGGGATACCCCCAGGATTGCTGCTAGCTCTCGTGAAGTTTGGTGTTGGTCGGCTTCAACCATCTGCCGGAGGCGCTCGTCATCCAACACTGATGGTCGTCCCGAGCGAGGTCGATCTTCAAGGCTGGTGTCGCCTTCACGAAAGCGCTTGAACCAGTCTTGTGCTGTTCGTTCGGACACTGAGCCGTCGCCAAATGCAGCACAGATGCGGCGACTTGACTCTGCTGCTTTCACTCCAGATTTGAAGTCGTACAGTAGAAGAACCCGAATGAAGTCCTTTGGTAGACGTGATTCAGAAGCCATAGAAGATGCACTTGATACACGGAATGATACTATTTATACTCATGCAGCACCAAGTTCAAGAACATTCGCGGAAACATCCAATCAAAATTATTTAGAAACCGCGAGCACTTTTCTTCCAATGAAATATATGTATAAATAAACATTAAAATCAACATTTGTTACCCTCACTGTCAAATTTATCTGTAGGAAAAATATTTTTCTACACTATATTTAGGCCAAGTTGATGAGCATTAAATCTGTGAAGTTTTAGTGTTGTCCATATTTTAAAAACGCTTTCATAGAACTATTTTCTTAGATGAGACATGTTTTCTCTGGAACATGAAGCAAAGGTAGATAACTCATAAAATATTTCTAAAAATCTACGATCAAAAATCAAAATGCCTGAAAAATCAGTAATAATGCATTTTTTAAACATTTTTGAAAGCTATTTCAGGCCTTGAACTTATTTGAGTAATCTATATATCCCTAGTATTTATATAAACTGCGATACTACAGGTAGGATTAATCAATCAATTATTAACTGTCTAATTTTACATTTTTACAACAAAGAATTAGATTTTCTCTGCATTAACAAACTGAAAGTTACTAAAATTATTTCTCACAGTGATTAAAAAAAATGATGATTAAAGCCAGGTTTTGGAAAATTAATCTAAAATTTGTTTTAATTATCAAGTTTCGCCACTCATCATCTGTTATTAGTAATTTGTCAGAATTGAAAAATATTGATTATATAAAATTTTTAATCAATATTTATAATAAAAAGGGGTGGTCTTTTTGTAATATCGATACAGTGTAAAATCGATCCCTGACTTTTGTAAAGAGTTATCAGGACTTTATTGTTATTTACCATTATGAAGATTGCTGTGAAACTGTTTTTCATTCCTGTGTATTAATTTTATTTTCTGAATTTAAAATTTTTTTCTTTTGGAAGCACGTGCACAAATAAATGAAGAATAAACGAACATATACTTTTATTAATTTATGCAAATTTGTTTACGCTTGTTCTTCTTCAATGACAAAATATTTTTTATAAAAAAAAAAAATATTTCGCCAAACAAAACTTTTGCACTTTGCTTATTTGTTAAAACTAAAACCTTTTCATGAAACAAAAAACACAAAAATGCATGTATCCGTTTTTTGTTCTTTAAACCAAATCTTTTTGTAAAAAAAATTCTTTTCGTACGCAGAGCTCAAAACTCTTGAAAAAAAAAATCAGGGATGGATTTAATGAACTAATAAACAGTACCACCTTTTCTAAAACAATTTTTAAAAAATCAATTGTTTTTCAGTTCTAACAAATGTTGCGCCTTATCTAAAAGTAACAAAACTTATTCCCAAAATATTTTCCCCTATTTTGTACGAATAGACCAGTCTATTTTAGTGCTCGCAGTCTGCATACGCATTGAACAGAATTTGATAAGATCGTGTGAATCCTTTTTAATTGGATCTATTCAAAATTAATATCATCGAAAATAAACATGTGTTCATTATTTTAAAAAATTGTTTAATTAATGTTTATTTTATTAATATTTTATATTTAAAAAAATAATTTGAAAAATTAAGACTTTATTTTAAAACTAGTGCATTATGGGTTGGAAGAGTCCATTAAAGAAATACATCTACTTCCGGTATTACTGCTTCTATATAAAACCAGCTTCTTCCGCTCAGAGCCTCTTTCTCACTGACCATGTAAGTGTGAATATGTCTTGATGGTTTCTCACGTGTAAACTATCTATTATTATCCTAACCATCCTATTACAAAATTATCATTTTTTAGTGTATATACATAAAGTAAATATTCTAATTCATATAAATTGCCATTATTTTCGTTTCAAATTTATTTAATTTTCCTCCAATTTTCGTTCTTTCTTTGTATTTTAGCAATGGCGGACGCAGCACCAGCCGGTGGCCGAGGAGGCTTTAGAGGCGGATTTGGAGGCAGAGGTCGTGGACGTGGCCGAGGACGTGGACGAGGCAGAGGTCGTGGTAGAGGCCGTGGCGCTAAAGATGCTGATAAAGAGTGGGTCCCAGTTACTAAACTTGGTCGTTTAGTGAAGGATATGAAAATCCACACCCTTGAAGAGATCTACCTTTTCTCGTTACCAATTAAGGTATGTAAACAAATTTTCTGTGGTTAACGTTGTTAAAGAACTAAACTTTTACTCGGTTAAAAAAAAATCTGATGGCTTAGTTTTCTTGATGTATTTAATCTTTTCAAATGTCTTTGAACATTGATTAGTATTCCCACGTGTTATAAATGGCGGCTGTGGTAATTGAATTATTTCTGATTGCCTAGAAGTAACAGAAGTTTAAGATTAAGAACTGGTTGATTGACTGTATCCTATAACCACGTGAGCTAAAATTAGAGTAGACCCCTTAATTTATTAAAAGCATTTTCTTTGTAAACATACCTTAATTTATTAGTTTTGTCGTGATCTATTCTACTGGAATAGTGAGTAGTTGATAGCATCTTATTGTAAGGCTTTAACTTTAAATGTATGGCGGCCGGGTACACCAAAATCAGATTAAAAATTTTCAATTCTGATACATGATTTTTTTTTTACCTTTCACACTTATTTAAAACTATACACGTGGAAAATGACGTCTACCACTAAATTGAAATTAAACTTCATTTGCTAATTTTAATTCAGCTGTTAGCGTTAATAAAAACTTGGAAAGGTGATAATAGAACTTACCAGATTTTTAAGAACTTTTACTGGCATTTAAAAGTTTATGGCAAATGATCCTCTTAAAATAAGACGTAATTGTGCACTGAATTATTTTTTATTAGTGACTAATCGTGTGCACAGACACTAAATATCAGACTTAGGTAGACTCAAATTTTGTTTTCCACAAACCGATAGCGATTATAAAGTTTACCCGCGATAATTTCAAATTCCATTAGTAAAGACAAGGTACGAAAGATTGAGAATCGGTATTTTGTTTTTTTAATTTAAACTTAAGCTTTTTCCTTGGGTAGACTCTTTTACTTTTATGAAGCTTTAAATTTTATAGGTATTCTCTTGGTAAGAGTTAACTCTATCCAACATAACGTTTAATTTATTTTTAAATCGCCGGGAGATGGTAGGGGTGAAAACTGACTTTTTTTGTATTTTACTTCCATAAGATTATGCTGAAAGTTATTAATGGGATTAGAGAAAATTTATTATATAGAAGCCGATTGGAAACTTTACTGTACGGCAAATTACACCTACTTTAACTAAAAGCGAAGTTATTTGACTTGAGTATACACTCGCTTACTAAAATGCAAATAGATTTAGATATTTAAGAAAAATGGTAGACTTACAAATAATGACCCACTGACAAAGTTAAAAAAAAAATTCCTGATTCCCAAAATATTCAAAATTGGCTCAAATCGTTTTCGTTGGGTCCTGGTTATCAATTACTGCGCGAAAGCTTACTGGCCTCGATAATGTCACTGGAGCATTATCTGCAAATTTACCGAAAAAAAATAGTATTTATGAAAGCTCACTTAGTAAAATAAAAATGAGCAGTTTTCAGATTATCACCTTTTAGTCTTCTGTACAATGTCGGGCACATGATGTGCTCCTAAGTTTAAGCGAGTGTTTTTCTACTTTTTGACACCAAGGTGGTGACAGGCTATAAACAAAGGTATTTCTCATTTTTTAAATAAAAGGTAATATTTTTGTCAAATACACTACACACTAAAACAATAGATTACTCGTAGGACTCCCTATTATAAAAACACCTGGTCTTAATAGCTTGTGTACGTTTTATAGTTTATAATTACTACGGTTAACTTAGATTTTCAAATAAACCATTGTAATAAGCGAGTCTTTCAACTATCACACCTTAAAGACGAAGTTTTTCTCATTCTAAACTGAAAGTTGCTAAAACGGTAAAACCTTTTAGTTTAGAATTTGAGAAACAACTTTTGAAAACTAAATGCTCAATACATGTAAGTACGGTTCATTGATATCGAAATGCATTAGAGTAACTATCGCATTTTTGTGACACAAAATTTGCAACTATTCAAATGGGATGAGTTGATTTTGCCTTATCGTGAGTTTGTGGAAATTCTTGCAAAAATCAAATTTTCAGATGAAACTTTCAGAACATATTCAAAATGAATTTAGTTTAGAAAGTTAAAAATATAAGATTCTATAAAACTAAGACGTTATTTAATTTAAATCTTTTAGCTTCGATATATTAAGGGCATTTGTCTGAAGCGTAAATTTTATGGTGAAAATGAATTTTTGCCAGATTTTTTTCTTTAATTTTAAATAAAAATGTGAAAGTTGATAGTTTTAAACTTCAGTTTAAATTATCTCTGGAAATTTTCTTACAGATCATAAATTAAAGCTTATTACATCTCTATTAAAACTTCTTAATATACCAATTTATTAAAATAGTCTCCGACAAAACTACGGAAGTACACTTCTGAAATGTCATTTTTGCTAGTTATTTCCCCTGATAGCGAGCATGCATTCCTCATTATTGGCATGACTCTGTTAGGTTGGAGGTTTTGAGGAGTTAGTCCCAACTATATGGTGTATGTGGGGGGATCCCATTTCATGAGTCACCTGTTTCATTTATGAAGCCTGTTATTTTATTTTCATTGTTTCAGTTAGGAAAAGGTTTCATAACTGTAAACTTAAAACAATTCTATAATAGGTGTACATAACAATTAGGTTACTCTTTGCCGGTTATAAAATTTCTATTTCTTCGTATTAAGTTTGTTTTTTTTTATTCCAGAATTCTTAGAATGTAAGATTTTAAAAAATTTGAAAGTGTATTTAACTAGGTTCACTTAAAATTTGCTTGAATTGTCACTTCTGGCCTACCATGAGATAAATCCCCTAGCTTGTCGATACATTGACGTACGTCAATTCACTCCTCCCAAAAGTTAAACAAATCATAGTTGGGCATGTCTCTTAAAAAAAAATGTTCTGCTAAACTCAGTAAGGTTTCCTTCAAATTTCATTCTTTTTGTTACTTGCTTATTTAAGTTTAGAATCAGGGCCATAATTCAAGAGTTAAAACTTGTCAATTACTCTGATTACTCTTTTCTCTTCATTATGGTTTCTATTCTTCCCCTGGGATTAGTGGCTTTACTCAGACTACCAGACTACTATATATATATATATATATATTTTTTTTATATATATATATATATATATATATATATATATATCTATATATTTTATTCTCTTTTTTCTGAGAAGTGAAGCCAGCTTGGGTAAATTGTATAGCAAATCATTTTCATGAATTATAACTTTAGAGGGGGGAAAAACATTTCCATTCTGCTCATTGTAAACACTTCAACAAATGAAATAGTGTAAATAGTGCAGTGTTCAATACATCTTTGGGTGACTGTTCTAGAGTGCTTGATCAATAAGAAACCTTCTACAAGGATTCTTGAATTTCCTCCAATAGCCATTATTGTTAAAGTACTCAGCCACAGTTTTATTTTTTTTTTACAATGTGTTGTATAAGGCTTTTGTCTGGACCTTCAATTTTTATCACCACTTAGTGAAATAGAAGCACATCCCTACAAAATCTGAATTGGTCAACTAGTTTGCTTCAAGTAACTGTAGTCAATTGAAAATAAACACTGAGTATATCTTTTAGCCTATAAGTGTATTAATAAAACTACATTTTTGCACATGTTAATTATGGCCTTTATATTCTTGAAAATATCACATAACAGGTAAATTTGCAAGTTTGTGCAAATTACCTGTCATGTGATATTTCAAAAAACATTTTTGCAACTAGTAACTCGTGTTTAAATAAACTGTATTTCATAACATGAATTGAATTACTAGTTGCAAATAAAATGTTCTTGGTACAGGTTACGTTTTAGCATTGATCATAACTACCAATACCTATCTGTAATCTATAATCAGCATTTTGTTGATCCTGTATCACTTGTGTGAGAATGTATGTAAATTGGAAATGTAACATGTTGGAATATTAAATTGGCAGATAATGACTATTTTGTTAGCGTAGTTGATCTAAAATTTCATAAACATTAGTCTTGATCTTGATTTTTATGTTTATAACTTGTTATTGTAGGAGGCTGAAATAATTGATTTCTTCTTGGGCTCAGATTTGAAGGATGAAGTCTTAAAGATAATGCCGGTGCAAAAACAAACTCGTGCCGGTCAGAGAACCAGATTCAAGGCGTATGTTGCTATTGGTGACCACAATGGACATGTAGGTCTTGGTGTTAAATGCTCCAAAGAAGTTGCTACAGCTATCAGGGGTGCCATTGTTCTTGCGAAGTTGTCTATTATTCCTGTTAGACGAGGATACTGGGGTAATAAAATTGGTAAACCTCACACTGTGCCTTGTAAGGTAAGTTGGTTTTAAAAAAAAGAAATCCTTCCAAAAAGCACCCAGCTGAAATCTTGTTTTTTGATTGGGTTGTCATGGTAAGGTATATCAACACTAGCTACTTGGGTGAGGTGTTATTCCTTTGAATTTGACCTCAACTTAGCAGTAACATTTCAATTAAACATGGTTTTTGTATTTAAGCAGTTAAAAAAAAAATGTAGTTGCTTTATGTAGTATTTTATTTGGCAACATTGAAATAGTTTCAGTAAATATATTTTAAGAAACTTGGTTGATGACAGCCATGGTTATTACCCCATTGTAATGATTTTTTGTCATGTGTTAATGCTTTATTTTAAACTCAACTATTTGAGACAGACCTAGTTTTTAGCAGGCATAGAAATTTTAATTACGCTGAAAAGTAATTATACCTAATGCTGCAGGTGCTTTGAGATACTCTTGAAATATGCTAATTAAACCTGTAACTAATCTTCCCTGCTTTAACAATTCATTTGTCAGAATATTAACTGCTGCATAACAATTTTAATTTGAAAACTGAAGTATTTTACAACTCTTAAAATATTTGTCAACATTGCTACTATTCCATTAAATAAACTTTCTTCTTGATTTATAAATGGGGGTGGGGGCATTTTATCTTATCCTACAAATTTAATTAAAAAGCAAATCTCAAAAACGGTTTATTAGGATGTCGTCAGCCATAAGTTTTACTTTTTTTGTAAAAATTCTTTTAATTTTCCTTTGTAGGTAGCTGGTCAGTGTGGTAGTGTAGCAGTGAGCCTGATTCCTGCTCCTCGTGGCACTGGAATTGTCAGTGCCCCAGTTCCTAAGAAACTGTTGAGTATGGCAGGTATTGATGATGTCTACACACATGCAAGAGGTAGCACAGCCACAATGGGTAACTTTGCCAAAGCCACTTACAATGCCATTGCTCAGACTTATGCTTACCTGACGCCAGATCTATGGAAAGACAATGCTTTCACAAAATCTCCATACCAGGAATACTCTGATCATCTAGCCAAGACTCATGCCAAAATACCAGTTCCAAGAAATGACGACAAACCATTCTAAGGCCTTTTGGCTTGGCTTATTTTTATTCTGAAGAATAAAGATTTGTGAAACTTGAATGTTTTGTTTTTCGTTTTTCTTTCCTTCATCTGTTATTTAAATGATACAAATAAAAAAAAATTTCAGGTGCACCAATTTCACACAGGTTTTGCTACCTGCATTTCTGAAATGCATATTGAAATGGCACATGATTTGGGGGGGGCATGTTTAAGATTAAATATGTAAATAAATAATTGGATTGAATTTCTTAATATTCAAATGATTAGCTCATGATTCAATTTAAAAACAAAAACCTGAAATGAAATTTTCTGCATTTGAAAAATATTAATGGCAAGTTTATGTAGTGGATTGGGTCTTAAAGACCTGAATATTGTATTGTATTTTTAATGCTTTGGGTTGTCCATATTTTTGAATTGCCATACATTCTTCAGTGGTTGAATAGTTCTCTCCAATAGTTTTTTTTCTCTAATTTGACAGGTTTGCCCTGCTATTTAACACATAGCAGAAGGCTAAAAGATGGATTCATAGCTTAACTGATTCATAGCTTAACTAAGGGCATCTTCATTTGTCTTTTTTTTTTTTTTTTTTTTATTTAGGGATCCCTTCTCCCTTTCCAGTTAGATAACAAACTGGTGTGACAGTGAGTACAAAGCAAAATTTTAATGTAAAATTGCCTATTTGGTATTTGCAAACAAACGTGAGCATGGATAATTGCATTAGTGGCCAGTAAAACTGAAGTCTAAAAAAAAATCTGCTTTATAACTTAGTGTAAATTGGAGCCATTGTATCTTTTTTTTTTTTTTTTTTTTTTTTAAAAAAAAAATGCATAATGTTATGTGGGTAACAAAACTTGTTCACAAATTTCTATGGATTTTTTAGATAATTCATTTTCATTCAAAAAATGTATTAAAGTTAAAACTTTTCCTAAAGTCAATGTTCCTGATCAGTAGATAAATTGATGAAATTATCTTTCAGCTGCTTTCATATTTCTAGTCTCCAGAAAGTTACCTGTCTTTCTGTTAGTGCTGAGAAATCTGATATAATGCCTTGCAAATATTAAGTAAAAACTTCCCAATCTAACAATTGTCTGTAGTCTTGTATTGTCCTAATTTAGTATTACATTCTCCTGGGTAATTCTGACTACGTCTCACTACTTGTTACCTCCAATTGGTAGTAATACTTGTTACAATTGTTTGGTTCTCTTAGAACAAGCTAGGTCCTCACTTGAAAATCAAATCTTTGACATAGCTAATGGCATCTTGCTTACTCAATCTCCTGCATTCAACTATGTTGAGTATTTACTTACCCCCCCCTTTTTTTAAATATACATTTCGATCATTTAATGTTAAGAATAGAACACCACTTTTGGCATTTACAAAGAATACAATTACGTCAGTCTTGACACTACAACCACCTTATTCTAAAACAATGAGCTTTTGGCATGACGTAAGAATTTTTGTAGCCAGTATGATCATTTATTCAGGGCATTTTGTTATACTGTTGTTGCCAGTCCATCAGTCTAATTGTGGTTCATAGCGACATTCAAGGCAAAATAGCACAATCCCTCTGGTAAAGCTGAGGTGGAGGCAGGCTATTGACCAGTACAGTTCCTCATCTCAATTCACCTGAATAAAGCCCGGTTGACTTTGCTGCAAAGGAAATAACACTAGCCAAAATGAATTGAATTAAAAAAAAAAAAATTGAACAAAACTTTAAATATATATATCTTTAACATTTTAAACACTTCAATGCAATTCCATTTTTTCTTTTGGCAGATGAAAGGAAGTATATTTTGTAGACGGTCATAATAGAGAATAGATATACCAATTTCATTTAAGTTTTGGAGGAATTTTCAGAAGGCAATATCAAATGAATTATCTTGCTTTTCCCTTCGATATGTATAATCTGAAGTGTTAGACCGTAAAATATAAAATAAGCTGCTATATTTTACATTTTGATAAGCTCTGGTATAAAAGGTAAGTTGATTTTCTGGAGATGTTCCCTTTCATATATATACACTCTTATTTGAAATCTCCATGGAAATGAACATGTATAGGAAAAGTTTGTAAATTTTAGATGTCATTCAGTTTACAAGAGAAAAGGGAGTGCATAAATATTGACTTAAGCTGCCGTAGTTTGTTATTGAATCATTTCTATTTAATAACTTTATCTTGGATAAAGGAAGTTGTTTGGCATAAATTTGTGTAAACAGGCTATTGAGTTGGCTGACTCATGACGTGTAAAGTTTATTTATATAGTTTCAAGAGAAATTTACTTAAGCTAATAGCAATTACCTGAAAATTTGCCTTACGTGTTTTCTATTGCGAAATTTTAATATTTTTTTTTCTCTTTTTTTTTTTTTTTTTTTAATGGAGCCTGCTGCTTTGATATGTTGATCGTCAGTTAAAGAGGCTCGTCTTTAAAGTCTACTTATTTTAATTATTAAATTTAAAATCATACTTAGCTTGAGTCAGATTATTTCCGTTTTTGAGGACTAATTGTAATGACAAAAAAAAATCTATCATTCTGATTACTAATCATACATGCAGTTAAAAAATAACCAATCAGAATGAAGTGTGCTAAAATATTAACCATAATTAAGAAATTTGAAAAGTATTTTTATGTGGATTACTAATTAAATCTTGGTAAATCCTGTACTGCAAAAAAAAAAAATGTAACAAAGACAAATGAGTCATCAACTAAAGAACCTAAAGTATATTCGTTATCGCATGTTCATATTTAAAATTTTATGTTTTTAAATGTCTTAATTTCCATAAGTTAATATTTTATGAAAAATCAACATTAAACTAAACAAAAACATGGTCGAAATTACACCCAACAGAACATAACCCTGAACGTTTTTATTACACTTTAGACCGCCACAAAAATGCGATACTTAACGTTTAAAATGAATTTTTAATAATGAAAGATCTTTCTTGAAATCTTTAGTTTTAATTTGAAGCTGAGAGAATATTTCCAATAACAAAATACTATGCTGTGTTTAAAAACTTTTGAATTTAGCGCGCTATTTTTTAGGAAAGTGTTACTGTTAGAAAATCTCTTAACCTTCCAAAAAGAAAATATTTTTTTCTGAAACTTTATTTGAGGAATATTAGCTGATTTAAAATTTATAATTAATCCGATTTGGAACTATTGTGTGCGTGTTTATCACAATGCATTTTTCAACAAGACGGTAACTTGTTTATTTATGTTGACAGATTTTGAACACCTTGAAAGCAGATGACTGATAAATTGTCAAATGTTCTACGGAGGCTTTTTCACAAATCATTTTTAAGTTCATAATTACAATCATAAATTCAGTGCTTTGATGTGGTGTAATCGTTAAGTTTGTCTCGCTAGTACGACTGAATAGTGAGTTCGATGCTCCATACTTTCGGACTTGATCTGCGCTTAGAAATTCGCCATGAATTCAGTGCTTTTACTACTGATGTGAATTTACATTACTTAAGGCAAATCGAGAGCATATAATTTTTTTCTCGAGCTGAGTTAAACTTGCAGGTTGAAAAAAATATTAGAGGTCTATCAAGATGCAACTATTCTCTTTTAGAATAATGACAATTGAATGATGTTTTCATTTTTAGATTTCCCAGAAAATGAAATTGAAATATTGTTCTTGCGGCTTGCCTTTCATCAAAAAGGAAAAATTGTGTTAAATAAATAAATATATATAGCATGTACTTTTTAATATTGTGCTCAACAGCAAAGTTAATTTTTTCCATTTCAAAAATTCCCTCCTTTGAGCAGGAGAGTATGGATTGGTTATTAAAGTAAAGAGCAACATGGTTATCTTAAGTTTAGAAAAAAAAAAAAAAAAAAAAATGAAACCGAGAAAGTGAGCAAATCTCGCGAGATCTCGTCTCCCTTCCTCACTCTTAGTCTTACCACCCATCAAGTCGCATTTTGTTTTGGTCTGTGTCGCCGCTCGGATCATGTATCTGCTCTTCACAGCCAGACCTCGGACATTTTACTCTTTTTATCCAGCAATAAGTGACAGACTAACCAAACGCTCTGTGGATTAATCAAATTTAAAAAAATAAAGTAAGTCTTTCTTATTTAATCCAAGTGAAAGTTATTTGATTATTTCCATCTTACTCTTCTCGGGTGTGTGTGATGCAGATAGCAGCGCTTTACAGGTTACAGATGTTTTCGGTATTTCTAAGTGTTGTGTTTCAAGACTTTTTATTTTATAATTTTGGTTATGATTTACTAAAAAAAGCGATAATTCGTGGAGGTAGAATTTAATTTTTTATTTAAAAAATATCCAAGAATACCGAAGTGTTAAAATACTATTTTAGTAAATATAGTGAAGAAATTATTAGTTGTCACATAAATGAAAGGAAGAGCTTAAAAATATTTAACATCAATTTAAAGAAAATTAGTTGATATTAGAATCGTTTTTAGTGGTTGTATATTCATTTCTAACAGCAATAGTGGCTGAGGAAGAAAACCGCATGGCTAAGTTAAACAACTGTAGTTCGTGTACTGTGCACTGCATTTTTGCGTGAAAAGTTATAAAATTAAGTCAAATGCATGCTCTTTAAATCTTAAAAACATTATGCATAATATATCATTAACAATTTAATAAATTAGTAGTCTTATTAGATTCATTGAATAATCCATAAATGTTTAGTTAATTTGTCAATGTTAAAAAAAATGATTTCATTTTTTTTGTTTGTAAAGCAAACAAGTTTGTTTGCACTATCTCCTTTCTATTTATTTTAAAAATCAGATTGTGTAGTGTACTGATAGAAAAAATCCACCTCAACAGAAAAATTGAACAATAAATCCAACAGTTGCATTTGATTAAACAAAAAAGTTTTAAAAATAACAGAACTAATATTGCCCATAAAACACGAATAATCTCAGATGTCTCACTTTAACTTTTTTAATGGTAAAGAAAAAGGACATGTTACGAATTAAAAATAATAATAAACAAAAACTATAATTCCAAATGTTCTAAAACGAAAAACCCTTGATTGAAT